ATTTTTGAACAAAATCAAGATAAAGCAATTTTGATTCAAATATGGGACACGATTAAACGTGGTAACCACATAATATAGCAAAATAAATACATGACATAATAATCTAACTACATAATATTAATATCCTCGTATTAAGACAGCTTCGGCGTTCCGTACATTAGTTGCATGATTATTCTACACATAACACGCAAACAGGCGAAATTACGCCAGTAAATCGGAGAAAGATCTCCTCGTCTAACAGAAAATAGTGCACTAAAACTTCAAGATATGTTTTTATAACTTTCTTTCAGCTACAAAAGGATAAAAGAAAGATACTTCATGTTTACTGGATGAATATGGTCACCAGTGGAGCTAACCCAACAGAGGTCCGGTGAGTAATCTGTTTTCATTTTGCAGAATTAAAGGTACCACGTTGCTTGGAGTTGTGGGTCAGGAGGAGGCCATTGTAGAAGTTGTAGAATAAACCAGATTTTAGCTCAGAGACTCCTATCCCCCTTCAAATAAGTACATTTTCACACAAAGATTCTAGCTCAGAGCCAGGCGATGTGGGCAATATAGAAGTCATTTTCATGTTATCGATTATGCCAACCAGACGATGGATAATAATATAACAGCTGTTTTCAGATTTAAAAGCTTCTGTTATCTATTGGATTACAAAGAAAACAGAGACCTGGTTTTGTTTGAGATTATTTTATTTCCCCAGCTGATCTAGAAAATACGTAGCGGAAATCCCCCAACAGAGTTTGAAAATTACGTAATGGAAATACCAAAGAACATTCCAGAAAATTACGTAATGGAATTCCAAAAAACATTCAAGAAAATTCTGCTGAAAATTTTCAATTAGATTTAAAAACCTATAGGTATAATGAACAAAAACAGACAAGATGAAATAATTGAAATGCTTTTAGGTTTTATCGAGTATAAAATATTACTACTGACGATATTGATATATATATATACAGAATATCTTGACAGTTTTACTACATTATTGTAGATAATCCAATTTCGTTAAGAAACATTATTACATTTACAATTTTCTGCATACGTTTTATATGCCCAGTGAACTTGTAAGATATTTGTTATGTTTTACTACAGAGAAAAATTGATTATCTGCAATCTTTATTGATATGAAATTTTTCGAAAAGGTTATTAAAGTTTCCATGGAAGATCCACACTCTTTTATTCACCCATCAGACATAGAGTTCATGGTTTTAGCAAAAGTGTAGGTATTGACGAGGAGTTGAGCTAGGTTACTTTTATTATTCACACAAAATTTCATACACTATCATCACCATACTGCTAATTCTAATTTGTAAAATATGTTAGCTTCATGTCAATAATGCGAAACTCGCGTATTAAGTGGCCCATATCATATTTTTTATCCAGCATGTAAGATCGTATTTAATCAGATATTTATTATAAGTGATACTTGCTGTTTTACATGCATTTGTTTTGGTCTCAAGTCAAGGCTCAATTTTTTTACACGCTGTTGCAAGAGAAACACCAACACCTATTATTATTAACAAATAATGGATTTATTAATGCTCGGTTTGATATTATTCCAGAACTGGTCATTAACAACGGTTAAAATAATATTATCCGAAGTATTTTGCTATAGTATTTGTAACACCGTTTTACGCACCAAAGCTCTTTAGGATAATATCTGCAATTATGCATTAGTGCGTCAACACTTGTTTTTTGGAATTTGATCTAAAATATGATTAAAATCGATTATCTGCTTTTTCATTATAAAATATTTCCTTACAATTTTTATACAATATAAAGCACTGTAGCACTAAACAATTGAATCAAGAAACTTATTATTATGAGCTGTAAACTCTCTGTACTTGTCATAAACATTTGACGAAATATCTTATCGTTCATCTGTCAATACCTCATTGTTCTTTAACCAACTGTAGGAATCAAATGTAATTCCTACTTCACGTTCATAAAAATCTAATTTACCAAATTACCGTATTCTCTTTCTGTTTCATCAATAAACCCAATTATCAAACTTATTTGATTCAAAGTAAAATTTTTGAGGGCAAGATATTGACTGATAATTGCCTATGCGACTACGAAATTGGTCAGTATTCGGGTGATTTTTGTCCAGCAAAAGTATCAGCAGAAGGAGCATTTACTTTAAGACATAATTTTACGTATTATTTTGTAAATATTTTATCGATTTCATTTTAATAATTTCGTAATGACAATTGTCTATAGATTGGAGTGATGGAAGTAGAACAACATCTTCGTCACTAATATCGTGTTAAGAATTAGTCTTTGCCTCAAATATTGTTTGATCAACTTCTTCAAAAAACTTTTATAGCTTATCATCCCTAATTTCTTTGTCAAAATCTTTGATTATCACTAAAGTATTGTTAACAATAATCGGATCAGTGTCTGGGGGGAGAGTGTACGCATCATTGGTAGAATTGCGTTCGAGTATATTTTTACAATCAACTCCGTATCTGGCGTCATTCTAACAACTTTAACTAGGGTTTCCTTGTAGTGTTAGTACATACTAAAAAGTTTTAAAAAAATAAGTTTTGAAAAATTATTGTATAACTTCTTGCTCCTTTTTATTTCTAATGTCTTAGATTCCGCTAGTTTGTCGAGATAATCATGGCTATTGTTTTACTCGTTCCTTTACATTTACTCTTTCACAATAAGTTTGTATTTTTGTTAAGTCTGATTTTATTATAAAATCTAGATTTTCAAAATTAAGTTCGAGCAATTTTTTTTTTTAGCAGGATTTCAACTTGTTTGTTTATCTATACAATCAACAGGATTACAGTTTCTACTTATCACATCAAAGTTTTCTGTTTCTTTTAATACTGGTGGTCCTCGCATATTCATAACAAGAATTTGTTTCTTCTTCTGACAATGGAGAATATACCATTAGAATTGAAAAGTTTTTCCTAGCATATTTATTACACGCGCCGAGAGCGATTTGTTTCTAACATCTATTTTGGGGTTTAAAATATTATCATAAAATTCTCTTGCAACGTATGTAATTCGCTGTGACATTTATTTTACAACGTTCGATTAATTCTGATTATCAAGTGTAAATATTTAAAGTGCCGTCAATTTTAGAAACTGATGTTCAGCAGCGATAACATATACGCGAAAAATACAAGTACATGTTAACCATATTGTCTGTTGGAGTTGCCAAATACTGTGTTGTTGAAATATGTTTTCTGTACTATATAACATTACCCAGTTGATATCATTGTTTGAGCCTTCCAATCGCAAATTATAAATTCGACCAACACTAGAGTTTAATCGATCTCACAGGTGAAATTGCCAAATAGCAATGGGACATTTAATTTTAACCCAAAAGTGTTCAGCTTCTCCGTTATTAGTCCATTCCTGTCTATCAGAAAAAGAATGATGAGGATTTTTTTCAGGATAATATGATGATGGGCATACTTCAGACCCAACTCGGTTATCAATTACATCAAAAAAGTGTTGGAATATACCCAACATTGTTTTTAGTTCGTTTTATAGCACCACTAAACATAGTCAACATATGCTTTATTTATCACATCATGTTGTTTTTTTTTTTGTTGGCTCTCATTTATGTTACCTGACATTGGTCCACCAGATTGTTTAAAATACTTGTTCTTTTAACTGGCTATGACCAATAGCATCAGTATCATTAGCTGGTGGCGAGATTGTTGGTAATCCAGTTATTTTTTGAATTATTGCTCATTATCAGGTTACCTCTCATAATGTCGCCAGTTTTATCAAGCTTGTTATCGTCAACAGATTTTAGCTGCTCATAACTATCCGCTTGTGTATTATCAACACTTGCTGGTAGATACACAATTTCCATTTAAATATTTTTTTTACTGGACATGTTGATGTTTCCTTTAACCGCTCCACGAGTTTTATCAAGGTTGTTATCATTTCCAGTGTAAATAACTTACCGCTTGGGTTTAAGTTTCTTTGCGGATACGCGGTTTCCAAATTTAATTTTTTTCCCTGACATTATCTAAGTTACCGCTTAGAGTTCCTTCTGTCAATCATAGTTTGTTATCGTCAACATATTTAATTTGTACATAACTAACAGCTTGTTTAAGATTAACGATAAACCTAGAACTCGTTGATTTGACATAAACAAATTACTTGTCAATGTGTCGCCGTTTATTTTTTTTTGTTTTATTTTTACTAATGATGACGTGTCGGTTATTGTTGGTTCGTTAAATGTTCCAAGCTTTGAATAAAAGTCCATATTATATAAAATATATGACAAACAATTATGGCGAAGTCACGGACATTAAATTTTGATACCGAACGATTAATCAAGCATAAACATAATAACGAACTTCCAAACTGTCACAAACTCAGTGTTGTTCTCACAGGATCAGGTAAAACAAATATAGTAAATCTTTTGCTCAACAATAATTTTAACTACAATAGGTTGTATATTTACACAATTAACCCACAACAGGACAAATACGAATTACTGAGCGAGTACAAACATATACTTTTTGATAAGCTTGGAGTCGGTTATGATGTATTTTTTATAAAACACCAGAGGAATAAATTCCAGTCGATGCACTTGATTCATCCGAGTATAGAATAATAGTATTTGATGATATTCTGCTGAACAATGAGGAGATAAACAAGATTAAGCCGTATTTTTCACTATCGTATAACAAGAGATGTAATTCAGTCTCTCTAGCGTAGGGCTACTATAACGTCGACAGATTTATTAGGCCAAATACGGAATGTTTTATACTGTTTTCCGGACTAAATGTGATGTGATTATGATTTTTAACGTAGCTTTAACAATTTTTCCAGTCATATCGCTACGATGTCTGCTGTGTAGCAGTTTATAGTGTTGTCTAGCACTGAGGCATCATGCCGCAGACATGTAGCATGATATCCCACCCAGTCACATTATAATGACACCAGGCAGACCAGTCCTAACACTAACCTCTTAATGCTGAGCACTAAGCGAGACAGCTGATAGTACCATATTTGTAAGTCTTTGTTATGACTCGACCGGTGATTGAATCCACGACCTCCCGCATCTGAGGCAGACGCTCTAACCACTAGGCCACGAGAACAGTTCCCAGACTAGATAACATTAATAACGGGAAGGCAACGAACAATGCGGTGTTGTAACAAAAGAAACATTTATTGAATTATATCATCAAGCAACGAAAGACAAATACAGTTGTTTTTATTCAATAAATTAGCGCTTGATTCAGCTAACATGTTTCGTTGTTGTATTAACAAAAATCTATAGACAGATTTTGTAGAACTTATAAAAAATAAACGATGGACAGGCGTCAACAAAGAATTGAATTACTAAAGAAGTTTATTGCAACTCGAGAAGCTTTTGAAAGAAAAGTGGAAGAAGCTAGGCGTGGGCACGTTCAAGCTGAAGAAGAAACTTTAAACCAGTTACCGAAGCAGTATTTGGCAAACCAACTGAGATATCAATATTATCTCCTGAAGAACTAAACCAAATACAAGAAAAAGGGTTATTAGGTTTAGTCCGGAAATGATCGAAAGAAGAAACTAAACAAATTGTAGAGGGAATTGTGAGAAATATTGCTGATCCTGCTGATTTTGGTTGATGATTAATTCAGTCTTGCAAAATAAAATGAAATTCAATTGTGGTTGCGATAAAGATTTTTGTATCGAACAAAACAAAATTATCACGTGCTGTCAATCTTAAAATATTCGTGAGGTAAATGTCGGCGGCATTGACATCCACAAATTTATTGGAAAATTACCGAAACCAAAAGCCACAAATGTACTGGACCGTACAATCCACTGGAGAAACAATTGGACGAAAACGACAATCCATTACCAGGGAAAGAGCCTTATAATCAAGTTCATGCAATAGCAATGCGTCATGTTATCTGCTACCATGATGTAGAACGCATTGGTAACGTTCACGCAGAGAGCTCGAAATCAGGTCGTGATAAAGTAATGTTAGATGAACTACGTCAAATGAAACCTGTAAACACGAGATAACGCTTTAATAGAAGATTTGTTCAAGGAGTGATAGGAGCAAAATACAAACTCGGATTAAGAGATTCTCGACTTGGTAGAAAATTATACGATGATCTCGCAGCTGAATTACACAATCATAATAAAAAGTTTTCTAGCCACACGGTTGTGGCGAATGCCGTTGACGATATCTGAGCAACAGATTCGGTTGATGTCTCAAATCTTGGTAAGTTTAATGATTGTAAGTAATACTTGTTTAACGTTATTGACGTTTTAAGTAAATACGCGTTTAGTATATCAGTTTTGGACAAAACTGGGACATCAATGATTGATGCGTTAAAACAAATTATCGTTAGTACGAAAAGAAAACCAAATAAAATAACCAAATAAAATTTGGACTGATCATGGAGAGGAGTTTTATAATAAAAGATTTGAGCGGTTTTCTGAGCAAAATTACATCAAAAGGTATGTTACGGGAAACGGGGGGGGTTAAAAGAGTTGTTGAAAGATTTAATCGTACACTAAACGAGCTGATATATAAACATTTGATAGCTAAAAACCCGAACAGGTATATTGACAATCTTTCACAAATTGTTGACAAATATAATAACACAAAGCATCGAACTATTAAAATGTCATCAAACAACGCAATTAAAAATCCAATACTAGCAAATGAGAACATGTACTGCAGACACACATTTAAAGTTGGTGATCAAGTAGAATATCATTAACAAAAAAAAATATATTTGAAAAAGGGTTTCCTCCGAACTGGAGTGAGGAAGTATTTGTGGTTGATAAAGTTTTACTGACAGTACCTGTAACGTATTAGGTAAAAGATCTAGCAAATGAGTCTTTAATTGGTAGTTTTTGCTAACAGGAATTACAGAAAACTGAACAAAATATTTTCGCTATCGAGTAATTAAAAAGCTTTGCATTAAAAGCTATGTTAAGTGGCGTGGATGCTGCGATAAATTTAATAGTTGGATTCCAATTAAATAAATTGGGAAATCATATTTTTGTAGATTCTTTCATAATTGCTTAAGACTGACCTCACTTTATTGGTTTACATAACGATATTAAATATCGTCGGCGATCGTCAGAAATCGCCATTAGATGAAATATCTTGACAAATATAAAGTCGATTTGTATATTTATTTGTCGGGTTGGAATTTTGATATTTTAAAAAAGTTGTATCAACCGCCAGAGCGACTGATTATCATCTACTGTAAAATTAAATTTCATTTTTTTAGTGATGTGATATTTTACATTATATTGTTACAAGTCTTTTACTTGACCTAGCGGTGTCAAAACCCTGGGCTCGAATCCCGCTAGAAGTCATAAGTTTACCCCATATTTCCAAAGACTTCTATACAACTACAATTGTAAGTCGGAAAGCCAGACGTGTCCATTCTGTACATAAATTTTACAATAATCAATACAAGACCACATTATTTACAACTTGCAATTTAGCCATCAAACGCACATCCCCACAGTTTCTCTATATTAACTTTCCGTTCCGCTTGTAATTCACACCGTAGAAACTGTACAACTATCCCTAACACAGACTATTTTAACTGCTTACCTGAGGCACATCGCACCAGAATACCTACTCACATTCGCTGCTATGGCAACATAAATGGTATCTACCGAGTACTTTTTCATTTATCCCATTGTGTAATTTACCGGTTTACTGCCATAAAATACTGCCGCTGCAGTCACAACACCGATGTATACCACTAGTTTTTATAAAGTGTTATATCACGACAGGGACAGTCATGCGGATTGGGTCTGAGTTCGCTACTCATTGGCTTTGGCATCTCGCTAACACTTTCTCTCCGTGACGTTTGATCCTAATAATTGACTAATTATTTCGTGCTAGGGAATATCTCCCACTGCAACGAATTCTAATAATTAAACATGTAATCACACAAGCCTACAAATTGTTTAAACTAAATGCGCATTTCCTTAATTTTATTACAATATTTACCAGTTGTCGGCCTTCTATGATTTTTTTTTTGTAAACTACACTTACAATCTCGTTTTGTTCATCGTCGTTGCTAAATAAAATGTCATCCTCTGTTTAATCAACAGTCGTGTTTGTCTGAAATCATAACATCCAGGCGATCATATTTGTTGTAAAATTATTGTCCGCTGTTATATCAGCAGATCGTTTTCATTAAATCATATTGTAATATGTTTTTATCTAATTTATTGTTATAAATGAATAACAAAATAAAATATCATCAGAAAGTTGGCATAAAAAGAATTAATGTGAATTAGTCGAAGCAGTGAGAAAATGTTTGTTGGGGTATAATTCTTATCCTGTCGACGTTATTGATATGCAAGTTGATTCTAATAAGATTCTGCAAACAGCAGCAGAAAATGAACTTAAATGACATTTCAATAATGACGCTGAAATTTAATAAAGATGATATTATGGCGTTTGCTCACAATTGCTTAACTAAAAATGAGCTAGCAACGAGCAACGATACTTAATCATTATATCTAAAGATAATTCTGTCAAATGTCGATTGTTATGAAATGAAACAATAGGTTTAACCTTACTAAAATAATGACTACTTGTTTTGCCTCATCTATGTTTTTTTTTGAGTGACAAGATCGAAATTTACTAAACGATTATCTGATTTAATTCCATTGACGTTGTCTGTCACTAAATCATTGGGTATAGGTCCCCATAACGTTTCGTAAAAGAACGATGTGATAAATAATTAATTTAACAGTTTTACCTCCTCGAACTTTTATTCTAAGATAACCATTGTTATCTATTCTAACTTTATTCTGTTTTACCTCCTCGAACTTTTATTATAATATAACCATTGTTATCTATTCTCATTAGCACTTCTTTTTTGTTTTTTCTTCCCCGAATAATTCCTTTAACATTTTTGCCTCGTAAGATCAAATACAGGATACGGCAAAAACTAACTTTGTAAAAATAAGCTTTTTCAATGTTATCATCAGTAACCGCGCCATTAACATGATACAATCGCTTCCTTTCTGGAATTTCATCACAAAATAATGTCTAAATAAAATCTTTTCTCAGCATTTCCATTTTCTCAGCATTATTACCTTTAACGCTCATCTTAAAACATGCCAGTGTTGCTTTACCAATTGGTTTCACATGACTGATGCGTATCAAAGACCCCAACCTATTTCCCGCGTACTCATTTTACTAGGGATGAACATGATAGACCTCTGGCTTGCCCATGCAATTGTGTGTCTTTATTCTATAGGGAATTTATATCTCTAATTGATCTTTCAACAAGTTTGTTGTGAGATATTGATCGAACAATCAATTAGAGATATATTATACTATTATATACAATGCCGAGATTACGCGATATAGCTAAGAAGAGCCTTATGGGAGAACCTGAAAAAATAGCGAATGCCTTGCAGGATTTGACAACAACTATCCATTTGATAAACAAATCGTACTGGAAAATTTCACTGCAACAAATCGCTATCATTTGTTAGAATCAACTGTAAAACATGAACTTGAAAACATAAGGGTGAAAATACTGGTGCATTATCATGTTATATTTTCAAAGCTATTTGTTGCAGAAGAATCGACTAATGAGGAAGCTGATGCAACACACCAGGAAATACAATTTTCTAAAAATAGACGAATTTACTGAATCATGATCAGGCTGGAAGTCTGAGATAATTTCTGACATTTTATTTCACACAATGAAATATAATGTATTATGTGGAAGTTTGTATAGTGATCTACCACAGAAAATAAAAATTTTTTAAAAAATGCTGTATAAACGTAAAGAACTTTGGAGGTGTTTTCAGTGGGTTATTCTTTCTGTAATATTTCCACCAGAAAAATATGCTAATCACATTGATGAGTATTTTAGTCACGTATCAAAATTAAATTGTAGTGGCATTGACTTTCCAGTTGCAGAAAATTAAATACCAAGCATGAAAACGTCTGTCCTAGATATATTTCAGAAAAGCTTCACAATCGACAATCAACTTACTGTTTTATAAAAAATCTTTATGTTTAGGTAAAAAAAAAAAGTTAACTGACTAGTTGGTAAACAGTATAACAAAGGCAAAAATAAAACTACTTCTGTTATCCTTA